GTCCCCAATCCTTGCTTTGAGGGGTCCCTTTATTTCCCTCAAGAGACTTCAGCTGCAGAACTATGAAGGCTTGTTCACGGTACTTCGTAGATATCCAAAGCCAGATTCGCCCTCAGCCCGCTTTGCAGGAAAAGCCCGTCCCGCTAGTGTGTACCGGAGCTAAACGTAATTTGTGTTTGCGCTTTTCAGCCTTTTGCATGCAGCAACAAATGTACCCAACCTTCCGCTAGCAGATCCCCCCACCAAAAGGTGAGGTGGTGTGACATCCCCACCCCACCCTCCTTCCCCAATAGAGGACCCTTGCTGTTTGGGCATGATGCTATGATTGTACAGCTTGCTTCCATTTGCTTGAGAATAATTGTTGTTTCCCCTGTTGTGTTGTGTTTAAAGGGATCCCAGCACTACTGGTAACATAGTTGTCTTTTTTTCTCCGGGGGACTTAAGCAACAAATAGAAGCAGAGGTGATTTGGGTTTCTGCTGTTCAGGAGCTCAAGGCTGCTAAGGACATTGCAGAGAAGGAGCTGCAAAGTGCACAGGCAGAAGGGGTTGGCTTGGCGAATGCAACCCTTGGCTCACTCCCTGAGTTGCTAGACTGTTCACTTGACATGAGCGAGCACACAAACACGAGCTTGTTTAAGAATCGGGGCCCCCCAAATGGCTGGGGCTGTCTCTTTGGTTTCCCATTAAACCACCCCCAAAGAAGGGTACACTAAGACACAAACAAACCCAGACTTGTTGCTTGCTGTGAGGCTTTGACCGAATGCTGTTTAAGCATTTGGGCACACATCAAGCATCCTTGTGATTCTTTTCCATGACTTTTGGGTAGCAGATGTTGAATGAAGTTGAATGTGGCTTTGGTTAACCAACCTTGGCAGGCAGTGGTGGACGGTCCGGAGGTAATACCGCTTTCAGAAGCGAGTTTGGTCCGCACAGGTGTTGCATGCTGCACAAACCCAGAGTTGTAGCAGAGTCGCAGCTTAACTCTCCAAGGCATTCATTCCTCAAATGACCCCGATGAAAAGAGCAACCGATGAGCAACGCCTAAAGCCTCGGTATACATGTTGAACAAGGGCTGTGATCTACTGACCGATTGCGTAAGCCACACCTCCCTTGGCGTAAGGTGGTGTAACATTGCACGCAAGCTTTGAGTTTCAATGATCAATTGTTTATGTCCATGTCCATGTGCTTCCGTGCTTCCTTGTGTACTTAGTTAACTGCACTTGTGCTGATGGAAATGGCTAGGCCAACAGCGTATACTTTCTGTACTAGAAATGTACGAAAATTTGTGTTTTTCGAGCTGGAACTGCCAAAGTGCACTTTGTGCACTGCGCGTGCAAAGGAAACGCTGTTGAGCAAGCCGCCTTCCTGTGATGGCAGGCGCTGTTCCAGCCGTAAGGGTTGTATAAGGCCCACTTTTGGCCCATGCGTTGCGTGAGCCAAAACATATCCGCGCAAGATAGCGAGTCATGACACTTTTTGGAAATGGCCAAATGGCCCTGATGGATTAACATTTGTGTTTCCCCAACAAGTGCAGGGTTCATGCTGGCATCAAGGTTTTTGTTTGCAGCTGCGACAAACTCAGATTGGCAACCACGTGGTCGATGAACTGGGCGCCTTCCCTGTCATTTGCTAATAATGTCACATAGTCATGGAACCCGAACCCCCAGAAGTGGTCCCTCAACACTCGAAACAGATCTCGCGCATGCCCCTTTTGCCAGGCGGCCGGGCGAAAAGCAGAGCAGGAGTTGCTCGCTGCCCGCACTGAGCCCTGGCAGTTGGGTGTGTGGCTCGTTCCTTTGCTCGGTATCCTTGTCAGGTTGGTTTACCGGGAACCCGAAGGAAAGCTGTCATTTTCAGGGTCCCCCTGCATTGACCCATATCCAGTTTGCTGCAGGGATGCGCAAATGTTCCATACTGTTCCGGGCTTTGGTTTTGGTCCACTTTCTCATGCTGCACCAGCCTCCATGCAGTGTGAGACGATCACAAAAAAGAGAACATGCTCCTGCTGTAAGAATGTTTTGGTTCGGTGTTTTAAGCAATGGGGGGAAAAGGGCGTCGGTTGTGGGCAACTAGGCGGGGTGACTTATGTGACGCCAAAGGAATCCGCCAAACAGTGATAACATGAGGAGCCAAGTGTGCAGTGATCTTGTTTCCCACCACGAGCAGACTTGGGGTGCCTCAGGATCTTGCAGCGGCACAGGATGAGGCTCAGTCCGCAGCAGATCCATCCCAGACTCCGGCTGAGTGTTCCGAACGTGTCACTCCAAGAAGAAAACTTTTCCACAGGAAGCCCGTCCCGTGCATTAAGAACCAACCGAACATGAACCTTACCAACAACCAACCAAGGGCTAGCTTGCGATCAGGACTCGAAGTGTGGTTGGTTGACACCAACAGGTGAACGGGGGGGAGGTGCTGGCGACATCTAGCTTATGCCTTCTTGGGGCCACTCCGCTTGTTTTCAAGATGTTTGCTGAATTAGTTGCTGTTTGGAGGTACCCTTGATTTCCAGCTCCTTGGTTGCCTTGTTTAACTTGTTGACTTTTTGGCTTCCATCATTTTACATTTTAAGCAGTGAAAGGGTTAACTTTTTTGCACGGCGTCGAAGTCTGTTTGAGTTCGACGTTTGTTTTTCCAATCTTTGAGAGGCTCTCAGCACCCATTCCAAGCAAGCACCTTTTGGACATGGACCATGGGGGACTAAAGGTCGAGCTCAGGAATTCCCAGCGAGAAGCTTCCCAAACCACGGTTTTCAGGTAACTCTCGCTATACAGGTTCCCTGAACGTTTGACACCCCCAGTCGCCCAACGTTCGAAAGCGCCGCCGCTTCCGTATAGGCGGCGCGCATCGGCCAGAGCTGTGCACAGCTGCGACTGGCGGCGGCCAAGGCAAATCCTTCGGAGCGCGCCACAAAATGGGCATTGTAGTTCGATGTTTTCACGTTGAGCTTTGAATACTCAAACTGAAAAAGAACGCTGGGGGTTCTTTAAACGATTTGGGTACCGTTTTCAGGTTGGTCTAAAGTTGAATGGTAGACCAAAAGGAAAACCACAGCTTTGACGCCTTGGGTTTGGTGTGCTTATAAAGTTTCAACGGGATCCGAATTGACGACCACCACCTGTACTTTCTGTTTCAGGGATTCCAAGTCTTTGGTTTGGGATGCATTCTTTAAGGAACCTGAATTGGATCCGACCCACTTGTCCGAAGTTCTTTCCGACGCCTCAACTTTTCGCCCGCGCACGCCACAGTCGGACTAATCAGAATTCATTTTAGGTCTGTGCAATCCCATGAATTCCAGCTCTCCATGTTTTGCCTCACGGCTTTACGGTCTGATTTCGTTGCAAAAAGCGAATTGCCGACCAACCCAGCGCAGGTCACCGTGGTCGAGCAGGAGAAGACCAAGCTGGAGGAACGGCGGCTTTGCTGCGCTTGGCGACACACACAGGAACCGTGGCGAAGGTTTCCGACTGAGCAGGGATGATGTGCACAAACGACATGGGCAACAAGCACCTTTGGTCTTGCCGCATTCACATGTTGATGTTGTTTTGAAAGGGTTTAATTTCCGCATATTTGAAATTTCAATTAACTTGCAATTGACAATCCCCTTGAACTACACCCAGAAGCAGAACACAATATGTGGCACTTAGACCCTTTGAGTTTGCTTTGTCAGTGCAACCCGTGTACCCCCCATAAGTGCTCGGCCCCTCGAAATGTCGAAGCTGCATCTCAGGCTTCAGCAAGCCACTGGCGAAGCCGCGACGGCTGCAGCCCGTGCCGTGGCAAAGTGGCAATCCCCCAAAAACTAGAAACTCGAGGACCAGTTCTTGCTTGGCCGGATTAAACCACAAAAAGCGGCATCGATTTGACACAAAAAGCGCCGGAGCAAGAGGAACCGTTGCGCCAGAGCAAGAGTTCAAAAATAATGAGGCATTTACGGACAACTCGGGCCAACACTCGTCCATGGCTCCCGTTGTCCCGTCTCTAATTGGACAGCCGCTCCTAGGCGTGGGGTCTTTGGAGACCAAGTGCCAGGAGCTCTTCGACTCATTGCGAAGCTGCGAGGCCCAACTCTCCAACAAGCGCTTTGGACGGAAGGGCGGGGGGGGGGGCCTCTCAAAATGTCGGGGTTTTCCCCGCTTTAGCTGGTTAAAGAAGGGGACCCGACATGTTCAAAACAAACAACCCAGTTTGGGCTTCTAAGTTTGAGGCAATTTCAACCCGGCGGGGGGGTGGGGGTGCGACGTTACTCAAAGCGATTTTTTCTTTCGTAGTGATCGCTTGCTTTCGGTTGGTGAATGACACATTGCCGCTTGCCCGATTAGTGCGGATTGGGGCCGGGGGAGGGGCCTTTTCTTGAGCTTTCGTGATACCAAGCAAATCCTCTTTAAACCCGGTTACGGCCGGGTTCTGTGATTTCAAGCAAATCCCTGTTAAAGTGATAGAGCAGTTGGGAATCGTCTCACAATATCTATTTTCTGAGCTCACCACAACGGACTCAGGTTAGGGCATTACGATGATTTGCACAGAAGTGACCCCCTGATTCAGGGGCTGTGTGTTTCGGGTTGGTTGGGCAGGGTGAAACCTGAGTTGTTGTGAGTCTGATGGCGCCATGTGTGGAGGTGCATGTGGGAAGAAAGGGCCGGCAAAGAAGGTAGTTTGGTGTCAGAGTGGTTGTTGCTGAAACATTTGAAATCGGGGTAGCGTCGTTTGTCAGTTGTCTGCTAAGACAGCACACTCGCGCACAGCTTACATTGCCGGCTCCCCCTGATGAGGGACGGACGCGCCACGAAAGCGCAGATTCCGGCCACCACAATGGCATGCCAATTTGGGTTACGGCCACGCATTTGTGTACGTCAACGAGGGTTCTAGAGTTTCGGGCCGAGCAGAGGTGATCTGATAGTGCAAATCCAGGGTGTTCAACTGCCTTTGGTGTTTTGAGCAATAAATAATTTTGAGCATAGGTCAGTAGCAGCTTAGACGCGGCCCGAAGATGACCCAAAAAGGCTCAGACTTGTTCTGTTTGCTGTTGACTGCTAAATCAAAATACCAAGATGCACACCTCTGATCAGAGGTTCGTATTCGCGTGCGTGTGTGTGTGCGCACTATCAGCGGCAGTTTCTTCAATGCAAACCACACACACCGAGCCAGAAAACACAGACGGATCTTCGACAAGGAATGCGAGTGAGCCACAAACTGAGGTGATACGGGGCTCTTTTTACAAAGCCGCTGACAAGACACGCCCATCCCAAGAAAAGTCGTGGGGGCGGTTCGGTGGTTCTCGAGTTCTCGCGGCCAATGTGTACACTGCAAGTCCGCAAGCAAGGCGGTTGTTGGTATGCCTTGTCCATATACTTTACTCACTTTTGGGGTTCGGCTCTTTCAGTAAGCAAGAAGTTCAGACTTTTGTTTGACCAATCCACTCAGGCAGTGAGTAAATATGAAGCTTGACCTCCCGCTTCTGCTAACGATCCGTTCCGTGCCGAGGACTGAGACGCTGGGGCCTCAGGGCAATTCGCATGGGGCCGTACGTGCTGTCGGCGTGCGGAGGTGAGGCAGGCATGGCGTTGCCTTAAAGGATGGCATTGCATGGCTCGTCCTTGGGGTGACCTTAGGTCCGTATTCGTCTTTTTTCCTCAGCCTAAAACCGACCTTTGCACCTATTGGTTTTCCCATGTTGGCCTACTTTTCGAGGCCTCAATGGGTGACCACCTTTTATTTCCAGGCTTTTGTGTGACATGTTGGCTTCCAAACAAGGAAACGCGAGCTGATAGCCACGTTTTTGAGAGTATTATTATTTGGGGTTAAAGGGAAGCTCGCAAGAAAACCGCAATTTTCGAGGTTCCCTATTTCGACATACTTGGAGGGGGGGGGCCTCAGAGCTAGCTGAAGATTCAGTGAGTTTGTTCGCACCAGGCAGCGACTCTCAACCATAGTAAGTCGACGAAAGGAAAGGATGACCTGGATGTTTGTATGAGCCCTTGGCTCGAAAGTTTGGACCATCTTACAGCTTTGCCCTTGACTAAAATGAACAAACAAACTGTTGCATTGGTTTCGATGTTTGTGCTCCACGCCTTTGATTAGTTCTACATATTCTATGTAGATGTGTCGCATTCTGTCGTTTGCAGCATTTGTGTTCGAGCAACAGTACACGTTCACAAAGTGCAAAGTGGCGTGATTGCTAATTCTCGTAGATTCCTGCACAGTTCTGAGAAGCTTGCATACTAGTGAACAGATGTATGAGTCCTTCATGGAACAGGCGAGTTGGTCACAATAACTGCATGATCCAGGTGCATCATTCAACGCCTTTCTTTTTCCGGGACCCTGCAAACCATCAACCCGACGACCCCCACTAGAAAGCCTCACATGTCTTTGTGTTGCGCTCGGCTCTAATGAGGTTAGGATCCAAAGTCTTTGCAGTGGACGTAGCGACTGCGTGCTGCCCTTCGGTGTCGTGACATCAACCTTGGCGTAGGGTGCATCCCAGGAAATTGCGCAGCCAAATGACACCAGATGCTCTACTGCACAAACTCGAACATGCACACATATGCACACGCTCAAGATGTCCTAAATTAAGAAATCGTAAATAGGCATGGATTGAGGTTTCTATCACCCACGCATCGAATGGGTCAGACCCTGAAACCTAGGCCCGCCAATTGTGGCAGGAGGAATTGCAATACATAGAAGCACCAGCAAAACCACTGCCTGTGGAAAAGCGGGTACACAGAGCCCGCAACTGGTGTTTCACTGTCCTTGGTATTGGAAACCCCGGATTCATAAACCCCTGCTTGATTTTGTTCAGGGGGTTGTTGGGGATTCAGACCACTGGAGGGAAAACACCCCGTTGATTTTCCTTGGGGGTGGTCCGCGTTTAGGGATTCACACCATGGCTGGCCACCCGGTCACCACCCGATTAGGATGGGTCAACTCCGTCAGCTGAGAGGCTGGCGCAGCTCCAAGACTGCAATCTGAAGCTGCGGGGCCAAGTGGCCGGGCTCTTGGGAGCCGAACACGCGAATCGACGAATGGGCGTGGCTCTGTTTTAGGCTGGGACCCCCCTAGCTTGTGGTTGTTTTTGTGGTTTTTCTTCAAAACCCTCAAAAGAAGACACGAGTGGCTGAAGTGACTTGAAGTGTAGCAGTTGTGAGCCATAGTAGCCAGGGATAATGTTTATCCATTGGCGCAAATGGCTCATTGCCAGAGTTAGGATGCTCCGCGTTTCTTTCCTTTTTTCCTTAGTCGTTTTCCGGCAACACGCCATGGCCTGACTTTGAAGCAGCGGCTTTCCCGTGCTCCAAATGACGCTGGCGTTTTCTGAAAGGGATGCGAGTGGAGTTTGTTCGCTTGGCTAAGAGTTGATAGCGCCTGATTTGTTGTTTGGATTCTTTGGCCAGGGATTTGAAATTTGAACCCCTGGCCTTTATGGAAGGCAAATGGGAAAAGACCCCCGACCTCCAGACCTCCGGGCTCCAAACCACCAGTTAGAGGGAAGCTGAAAGGAATCTACAAGATTTGTAGCAAGCACGACCTTCCAGGACTCGGTGTGGGGTTTCGGACCCTTCTTGCTTCACAGCCTTCCGCTGGTTTCGCTTGGCCTTTTGCTGCTTGGCTTGTCAGAGTCTGCATGTTTGTGCCTCAAGGGAATCAAAGAGTTGATTGCTTGCTTGCTTGCTTGCTTGCTTGCTTGCTTGGTTGCTTGGTTGCTTCGTTGCTTGGTTGGTTGCTTGGTTGCTTGCTTGCTTGCTTGCTTGGTTGCTTTGCTTGGTTGCTTCCTTGCTTGGTTGCTTGGTTGCTTGCTTGGTTGCTTGGTTGCTTGCTTGCTTGGTTGCTTGCTTGCTTGCTTGCTTGGTTGCTTGCTTGCTTGCTTGGTTGCTTGGTTGCTTGCTTGCCTGCTTGGTTGCTTGGTTGCTTGGCTGCTTGGTTGCTTGGTTGCTTGGCTGCTTGGTTGCTTGCTTGCTTGGTTGCTTGCTTGCTTTGTTGCTTGCTTGGTTGCTTGGTTGCTTTGTTGCTTGGTTGCTTGGTTGCTTGGTTGCTTGGTTGCTTGGTTGCTTGCTTGCTTGCTTGCTTGCTTGCTTGCTTGCTTGCTTGCTTGCTTGCTTGGCTTGCTTGGCTTGCTTGGCTTGCTTGGCTTGCTTGGCTTGCTTGGTTGCTTGGTTGCTTGCTTGCTTGCTTGGTTGCTTGGTTGCTTGGTTGCTTGCTTGCTTGCTTGCTTGCTTGCTTGGTTGCTTGGTTGGTTGCTTGCTTGCTTGGTTGCTTGGTTGCTTGGTTGCTTGCTTGCTTGCTTGCTTGCTTGCTTGCTTGCTTGCTTGCTTGGCTTGCTTGGTTTGCTTGGCTTGCTTGGCTTGCTTGGCTTGCTTGGCTTGCTTGGCTTGCTTGGCTTGCTTGGCTTGCTTGGTTGCTTGCTTGCTTGCTTGGTTGCTTGGTTGCTTGCTTGCTTGCTTGCTTGCTTGCTTGCTTGCTTGCTTGCTTGCTTGCTTGCTTGCTTGCTCGGTTGCTCGGTTGCTCGGTTGCTCGGTTGCTCGGTTGCTCGGTTGCTCGGTTGCTTGCTTGCTTGCTTGCTCGGTTGCTCGGTTGCTCGGTTGCTTGGTTGCTTGGTTGCTTGGTTGCTTGGTTGCTTGGTTGCTTGGCTGCTTGGTTGCTTGGTTGCTTGGTTGCTTGGTTGCTTGGGGTTGGCACCGTCATGTTTTATGGTTTTTCAACAGTCGGCTTCAAGGAAACCTAAGAGCCAATTAAGAAGGCTGACTTGGAGGCTTCGGCTGCTCCGGCTTCGGCTCAGGCAGAGTCGGCGGAGATGCAGCAGCAAGCCACGCTGCAGATGGAGAAAGCGCAGGAGCAGCTGGCGGCAGAGCTGCTCGGACCGCTTTGTCGGGCCCCAGGTCCAGGGCCCCTTTGCTCTGTCCAAAACCGACCTATTGACCAAATGCCAGGCATGTTTTCCCTTGTTGGTCTATTGGCGAAGGTCCCAAAAGGTGATCATTTTTTATTTCCAGGTCCAAACTGGACAATTTAGTCTAACGTAAACTACCGAAAACAAGTGCCCTTTTTTCCCAATGCCCGATGGGGCTTTAGGTTGCCACTTTCCGTAACACCAAACAAACCCCTTAAAAGGCGATGAACACTCTTGGTGACCTCGCAAGAATTATTTCCCACAACCATAGATTGATTCGGCATTGTCCAGCCATCGTTGGTTGCACGAACCAGTGGTTTTCCGGAAGACGGATCCCGGAAGTTGACCCTCGGTTCTTAGGCAAAAAAAGGCTCAGAGCCAGGGACTCCTTTTAGGTGATTGGTGTTTTTTGTTTTCCACTCACCATCCCAGAAGGGTAGTCCCAAGGCCATTGAAAGTCGCTATGAATTGCACCTCCTGGAACATTTTAGAGCTTCAATTCCTTCAGTTCTGCCAATGCTCTCTATTTGGGTGTGTCTGTTTTTTGGGGACCTCTCAAGAACTGGTTCGGTTTCTCAAAAAGACAGACCCCAAAAGACCCTTTGTCGAGGTCTGCTCGTCTTGGCACCTGCTCCGCCGCGCTGGAAGTCAGCGAGCAGCAGCGCAGACATGCGGAGTCGCTCTGCGTGGCTGCGGAGGCGCGCCGATGTCAACTCGCTAGAAACAAGAACATGTTTTTGAGAGTTTTATGCATCTTTGGAAAGAAGGAAACATAGCAAGAGCTATAAATGATTCAACTTTGTTTTGTCTTCTTCTGTTATTGGGAGGGGTGTCCGTTTCAATTCAACTGCAAACGAATGGAACCCTTGTGGGATCAGTTTTTTGTGGTGTGTCCTGGTAATCCCTTTGGGGCCCAACGGAAAAGCAAGGCAAACCATGGTTCACCCAGACTGAATGCAATTTGGCTGAACGTACTGCTTCCCAAGCACTACACCGAGGAGCATGATTGATCATCAACCACCCTATGGCCACTGTATCAAGGAGGTACAAAGCAGCCATGTTCCTTTGGGGCTGGTGGTTCCGTGACCAACCACCGTGTTTCTTTGGTCGTTGACCACTCTATGGCCACTGCCTCACGCGCCTTTTCGTTGCGTGGGAGCCCTCGAAACCGCCCGTTGCAGGCCGCGCAAAAGCATGCGGAGCAGTGCAGCCAGGAGGCGAGGGAGTCGAGCCAAGAGGTACCGCCCACCTCAGTTGCCGAAAGCGAAGCGACCGGATCTGACCTTTGGTTTCCGCAGGGTCCCTCAAACATGGAGTTGGGGGTGGGGCGGATTTCGACCCCGGGATTCTCATCGATGATTCCATTTTCCCTTCCAATGAAGAAGATCAATATGGAAATTTGGGTACCCTCACCTCCCTCCTTAAGGTAGAGGGGGTCCTTTTTTGGTTGTCCAGTTTGGTCCTTTGTAGTCAAGGTCACCCTGATCACCTTTTGTTTCCTGGTCCCTTGGGCAAGTGAGCCCAACGATAGGGGGGAAAAGCTCAATTCCTTGGGCTCTCCTCGACAACTGTTGAACAAATTAGGGTATATAGAGTAAACTATGCCTACTCCAGATGTGGGGCAAGCTTCGCAGCTAAAACATCACCTGGCTGATACAGAGAATCCCCTTTAAGCCTTTGAGGAATCTCTTTGTGTCCTCTTGTCCTCTCGTCTTCGTCTCCTCCAAGTTGTTGCCTGTCGCTTTCCTTCTCCCAGCGTTTCCTCGTAAAAGCTGAGCTTTGCCTTGTTTTTTTGTTTTTTTGGTTATGGCAGCCAGTATAGGACGGTATTCCTGAAATCCCCGGTTCGGGGGTGGAAGTCTGACATATCCCTCCCTCAGCTCAGTAGTCCAGTGTAATTAGGCTTCCTACTATAATATAATCTATTTTGTCTTGGGTAGTGGCTTGTGGCTGGCGGCAACAATGTTTAGATCCTACGGTTCACCTGCGTTCGGGGATTAAAGTGGGGTGTTTTTACGCTGCTAAATAGCACATACCTCATTGTTGGTTTCCGCTGAAGGAAGCTAAACTGGCGCTGGATATCTCTTTCATTTCCTACATAGCATGTTGGAACCCCGCATTGCATGTTGCAACGGAACCGCTAGGCGCAGAGCCGCATGGCGGAGGCGGAGCGCCAAAGTGCTGCGGCGGAAGAGGTGGACGGGGTGGGTGGGGAAGGGTCCACCTGGCTTGAGCCTAGCGGCTCCCCATATTGTCAAGGTGGTTTGAATTGGTTCTTGGATTTAAACCCCTGTCTCTTGTAGAGGGTAAGTGGGAAACCGCGGCCTCACCTCCAAACTACCACCCAAACCACCAATTGGAGGGAAGGGAAAGCAACTATAGACCAACCACCAGGCCAGCAGTAGGTCAACTGCTGGCAGGCATGGACGGCGCCCTGCCAGGTCCAGTCTGCCTTGCAGAAGCTGCAGGTGCAGGCCAAGGCACGGCACGAATTGGGAGTTCCCTCGTCAGAGCGGCCTTTTTTCAGAAGGCACCCTTTTTGTGGTTGGTTTAGCAGTGGTCTCTCAATTTCTGATTTGGTTGATCCCACCCTGGTAACGGTCCCCGGGTCCTTTCCTTTGACCGCCTTCTGGCTTTCTCAACTTACCCTTTTTGCAGAAGTCCGATGCCATACAATTTTAGAGCACAACCTCCGTTGTTTGAACCAAAGCCACCAAGCAGTGTTTGGCTAGCAAGCTTTCTGTTGACAAGGGTTGGCCCTGTTGTTCTCCGCCCTTGTCTCGGCTTATGCACTCCACCCCCAGCGTGCCATGTGGTTGCAGTGGGGTGCGGAAATGAGGTAAAGTTGTGCGGATGAGGAGGTAAAGACTCCAATGTCTTGGGTGAGGAAGTGCAGGCCGATGAGTAACAGTTCGGGAGCTGCTATTCGAAAGACATCGTCGGCCCCATTACTCAAAATAGAACGTTTGCTCTTGAGCCGCTTGGGTGCTGTCAAGCCGACGTGACCAATGTTGTGCTTCCATGGTGTTCTTGGCAGACGGAATGGATCAGCGTTTCCAGCAAGAGTGCTTGCTATATATGTGCGTCTTTGAGATTCGACCTTTTGAATTCCACATCAAGATGCCCCATCTTAGCCTACAGCCCTCTTGTTCATTCGCACCCGGGCCATTTCTTTGCCAAACCTGGAATCAACCTGCAAACGCGTCTCCGCTTTGCACTGGTTTCTCCTTATCCCTAGTTGGTGGTTTGGTTTGGTGTTTTGGACCTTAGGGGGCTTCAAGCCCCATTTTTTCCTCAAAGCAACAGGGGTTCCAACCCCAAACATCCCCAAACCACAAATCCAAGGCACCAATCCAGGGCTACCAGGAAGTAGGGGCACCCCCGACCACAAAACGGGCGCCTTCCGCTCAGGCGGAGCTACAGGCGCAGAGGGCAGAGGCGCAGCGCCTCACGGAGCAGTGCGCCCTGGCTCGATGGAGCGAGGGACGGGGTCCAAACGGATCCATGGTTTTTAGAGGGTTGGTTTCAGGGCTGAAGGATGTTGATTATTTGTGTCTTCTTTTTTGGGGAGTCATTTCGGCCCATGTGTTGTTGAAGGGCTTGTCAAGTTAGGTTACCCTTGATCAGTGGTTTGGATTGGTGGTTTGGATTTGGATTTGAACTTCTGGTTCTTGCTGAGGATACATGGGAAGCCTGCCGCTAGCCTCCAAACCACCACTTAGGAGAATCTGACTTAATGGGATTGGTTTACGGGCTTAAAATGTTTTAAGGTTTTGTTTGTTGGACCCACGTCATGTGGCCATTTTTTGTTTGGATGGGTAGACTCCTTTTTGGGAATGGTTTAAAGGGAAAACAACAGGAAACAAACCATTTTAGGGGTCCTTTTTGAAAAGTACCCATGTTGGGCGTGTTTTTTTTTTTAGGGAGCCACTTTAAGGGTTTAAAGGGAGAAAAGGACGACCACCTTTTTTTGGAGGTCCCCGTACTTTGACACATGCCCATGTCAACCGTTGGGGTTGATCGCTTGCGGTTTCTAGATGTGCCCCAGCCCTGATTTGGCATTTGGGGCCTTAGGGGTTGGAAAGCGCAGCTTGTTTTACTGGGGTTTCTAGTCACTCCCTGAGTTCCTGGACTTGATGAAATATTAGTGGTAAAAAGTAAGTTCTTACTAGCTTCGGCAACTCCAGCTCGAGGACAGAATTGCCCTTTTGCATGGCTTCCGCCCAAGCTCTTCTTAAACATGGCCAACCCTAAAAAGGGCTCCCTTGTTTTGACATGCTCACTGCGCAACTTCTTGTGGCCTGAGCAGAAGGGAACAATAAAAGCGGGTTTTACTTGCGAAGCTAAACATACTTTTAACTGTTAACCAAGGACTTGCGACCCTTTTGCCTTGCCATGGTAGAGTTCAGAACCTGAGGGCGTCGCCAAATTTCAGCTGCAAAAGCTGCAGGTCGACGCAGTGTGGCCACAATTAGCACCCAGTCAGATGCCTTTTAGTGAGCGGGCAGTTGTGGCAACAGACTTGGGGCAATTTGAGCTGCTTGCCAGTTTCCATTGGGGAAGCCTTGTCGTACCCCCTGACCTGCCGTGTTTTGTTCCTTTCTCTCTGTTTTTTGGAGTGGTTGCCGTTCAAAATCGACCCACCAACAAAACATCTGCCTTTCTCTCTCATGGCCACTGAGAGTCTCAGTGAAGTAGACGCAGAACAGGTGGACGTGAGAGCTGAAGTTCAATTTTTTGGATGGGCCCAGTTCACGGATTCCCCCACCACATTGTTCCGAAATCCGAGGCGTGGCTTTGAGCGCCTCCTGCGCTGCGGCCAAGAGCGCGCTGCAAGCGCACCAGGAGACTGCGGCCAAGGCCTTCGATACCGGGCTTCCACACACTCCAATGGGTTACTTGGTCACCTACTCCGCGAATTAATTGAAGGGACCCACAAGTGGGGTCTATTTGTACAAAAGGAGATACCTCCACAAATGTTTTTTTTGGGGGGTTCCATGTTAGTTTGGGGAGTGAGGGATACATTTGTTCAAGGTCACAAGGTCACGTGAAGGGGTCAGAGTCAACGGGCCAGGAACCATCTTACTTTACCCTTGACTACCGATTTTTGGGTTTGGAGATTGGACCAAAGAAAGGTGCCTCCCTTCCTATGGCTGCAGGTTTGCAAGGTTTGTCTCAGGGTGACTTGTCTATTTGGGTGTCCTCCCCCCTTTGCCTTCGTTCCTCGCAAGTGTTGAGGTAAACGTCCTAAGAAATCCGTCCTCACATTGCTTTGTCCCTCGCATCCGCGCAGGCGGAGCAAGCGGCTCTCGCGAAACAGGCAGGGAACTGGCTAACATTGGCTAACTATTAATTTCCAGTGTCACCCAGGTTAGTGCTGTTCAAGGGCCATGTTGTAGCCCGAGTATCCTGAATTGAATTGTTGCCTTGGTTGGAAAGCCTCGCCGTATACAGTTCGGTTGGTTGCAAAGGCACCCTTTATCTAACGTTCTTGCTCCCTTTCCAACCATAGTTTAATTATGGCCATGTGACCATAGGTGGGCGCTCTTGTCACTAGCCAGCCCTCCATTTTGGACAGCCAGGTCCTTCCATAGTTGACGAAGTAGACCTCGGACACCTCACAGCGGCTGTGTCAAATCAGTCTGGTGGTTGGCCCAGTCCCGCCGGAGTATGCTGGTGGTTCCCGAGAATGTTGGTAATGGTTGTGACCGAGCTTTGGGTCACTTTCTGTGCCACGAGAGCCCCGGAGCGACAAAGTAATTAAGATCATGACTCTCTTGCCATGATGCGGGTTTTTTGAAGGGAAGGATGGATGAACGGGTGTACCAACCCGAAAGCAACAAAGAGTTGGCGATGCCTTGCGGCGGAGATGCATGTGCGACTTGCATACAACTTACGGTCACCAACACGATACTTTGTCGGTTATGGCCACTGCTGTCCTTTACATACGGTATGGCAAACAAGTTAAAGCCTTTTTGTGACTGGGATGATGAATGGCAGGAAGCACAGAGAGAGTCCACCTTTTTTGCGGAAGGGGACATCCTTGGAGAAATTTGAGGACCGCAGGGGCAGCTGCATGACAGTGTTCAAAGCTGCCATGCCCCTCAAAACAGCGAGTTTGAATTCAGCTTGATTTCGGGCGAAAGCACATGCATGATTCGTTTATTCAGGTTGACATGCTTGACCAATTGTTATTTTTGGCATGAAGGGCTTTGTTCCATCTACGTTCGCCCAATTGTACCTGAGTTGCTGCTAGCCGTGCAAAAACAAAAGCTTGCAGATATTCTAGAAATGAAGGAGTGGCATTGTTGTACATATGCATTGGACCAATTGTGTTTACACATCTATCTAAATATGGGTCTGTGTTGTTTTCCCGTGTCAGTTCTTTAGTCTTCGTGGGAGGTGGGGCTTGGGCGAGCCATACCCCCGAATCATACCCCGAACCATACCCCGAGCCATACCCCGAGTCATACCCCTTAAAAAACAAGAAGAAGAACTTGCAAGAACTGTGGCATTTGCATGTGATCCATGGATAGCTGGAAGCTATAGGGGGTTTAACTTCAAGTGAAGAAGGGGGTCTTGTCAAGATCTAGTAATACCTGGTTCACTTGTGGTTCCTGGATCTATTCTTGAGTCTGCGATGCTTGCATGGTTGGGCTCTGATGTCATGGGGCCAAGTACAGTTGACACGTCCACTCACACACTCACTGGTTACTCGTGGCGGGCCATTTTGGCTCAAGTGGTGTTCCTTGACACTCGGTTACCCACCTCGGTCTCGGCTTGCTATTTTCAATGGAAAGTGCCAATGGATGGAATTATAGAGCAATCCCGCGGCTGTCCTGGTACTAGAGTTGACTGTAGCATCCGTGGTGCAGCTTGACGTAAGACGCTGGGACTTGCAGGGCGCTGTGGCGGTGAAACTTGGAGCTTGCTTCCTGCAGTCTGTCCGACGCGGTGGAAACAGCTGTCTGTCCTGGGCCACTGTCGCAGCGAAACACAAGCTGTCTTTGTGCTCCTGGGGTACTCTTGGTGTCTTTCCGGTCATACCCCCGATTCATACCCCGATTCATACCCTTCTGCTGCCATTTGCAGCCAAGAGCCTCTTGCGCTCTGGGCAGTACTAGCGAAGCTATGCCACCGAAATCCTCAGAAGACACAAAACTCAAAGAGAAGCAGTGCAGAAACCAGCTCGCGGCTCTTTTCGCAGAAGTTCGCCAGAAGGTGGGTTCGGAAGGCTTACTGCGATGTATCAAGCGCGACACAGTACACCACCTGTGAGAGGCCCACTAGCCTCTGCGCGGCTGCCGTTTGAGGTGTCACGGTCTTGCCCTTCGCTGGTTCGTGACTGGTGCGGGCCTGACTGGACAGCGGCGCTTCCCCTTAAGCAACGCTTGGCTTGGGTCTGTGAGCACGCGGGTCGCTTGAACTCCAAGTGGAGGTGGCCATGACGTTCGCCTCAGGCAGTGGCAGCTGTCTAGTTCAGGCCACTCACAAGCGCCCCAGGCTGGCTTGTAGCAACTAAGCGGTCCAAATTCTCACGGCTATCCAGTTGCCAGCGTCCAAGGCCACAAAGCAAAGAGTTCAGAGGCGCGCGAGCCATACCCCGAATCATACCCCCGAGCCATACCCCGAACCATACTTGCGATTCATACCCCTTGTACCAACCTCCCGGCACGGCCACGTCAAAAAAACACATACCCATATGATCAATTTGTGTTTAGAGCACTCAGTTGACGGGTCCCAAGAGCTTAGCTCTAGCTTCAGTTGCCAGGCTGAGATCGACGTCCTCCAGAGCTCCCTCGCATCTGTGCAGGCGCCGACGCGGTCCAAAGCGAACCTTAAACGTTGCTTGTTTGCTTGGAATGCTCGGCTAGAGCAAAGAAAGGCAGACATTTTGACTGTTTTCAGGTAGTTTGGTGGAGTCAGAGGTGGGAATCAACTTTTCAACTTTCAACCATTTTCTGTCAGAACCCTGAAAAACAAACACGCCGCCCTGCGTGTGTCGGTGTGTCTTTTGTGGAGCTGGCACCGTTTGGCTTGTGGTTTTGAAAGACTACCAAAAGGAAACCCACCCCTTACAGGGGTTTAACCTAAAAAGCGACAGACCCATGCAGGTTCCTTTTTGAATGTTTGCACGTGAACTTGTTTTGTGTCCATCGGCATATGAGATTTGGGGCCTGGGACAACAGACTTTAGCTTCTTTGCCGGGCCGTTGGCTGCCTGTGTTTGGGTCTTGGTAAAGGCCCCAACAGATTCAGTCATTTGATGAGGGCACGCCTCGGACTGCTTCAGCATGACAGATACGTATATGTACGTATCATAAACCCACATCGGGAAACCCTCGTTAAATGGGTTGTGTTTTCTCAATTAGTGTCCCGTCTCAGGCCGTAATGAGTCCCAAAGAGGCAGCCCCGCAAAAGGTAGCCTCAACAAGACAGCCACGTGCCGTTTTGGTGCAGAGGTGCCTGGAATCAAGCATTGGCAAGTGTAGATCATCAACGCACTGGGGCTTGGAAGGAGCTCCCTCACTACTTGGACATCAAGCTGAAGGTGCATTAGGTCAATTCATCAACCTTTGAAGGACAAATCCGGTGCTTATTTGACTTCCAGGTCCCTTGGTTGCAAGGGAGTCAATGCATAGCGATGCATAGCGATGCACCTTTTGAAAGGGGTTCGCCTTTCTGAAATGGGTCCACTGCCAACACATTTCAACCGAACAGTCGGGAGTGGATAGATGTTACCGGCAAGCCTTACTCGCGGCAGGACACCAACCGCACTCTGCGCTCCGAGCAGCTCGCAGCCAAAGCCGCTTCTGAGGAGGCCGAAATATGCAAAGCCTCGGTGGCAAGGTATGGTTTCTCTCAAGGGGCAACCCAGAAAGTCGTAGGGTTCGTTTTGGCTTTCCTTAGAATCCCAAAGGGGAGCCCTAGAAAGAAAGGCACACCCATATGTTTTTTTGTGCTATCACCTATGGACCTAGGGTCCTAGGAGTCCTAGGCGTTACCTTCCTCAACTGGGGCCTTCTGCAAACTATGCATCGAGTAGACTAAGAGACAACCTACTTGTTGTGTAGCTCAGAGGCGGGCCATGGGTCTACCGATTTTGCGGATTTCCAGCGAATCGACCGATTCGGGGGGTAGAACCAGCCAAAGCCAAACCCGTGATGCAGCTCCTTCGCTTGGGGATCCATTTGCTACTTTGGGTGTTGGAGCTATTTTTGATGCCCCTAGTTTTTGGGTTTAGGGACACCAAGTGGAAGCCCCAAGTTGGCCGCTTTCTGGGGTCAGAAATGGGAGTCCCACTTTATTGCGGAAAAGGGTTTCCCTCAAATGCTTTGTTTCCTTTGAGTTCCTTGTTTGTTTCCCAGCGCCTCAACTGGGTACCCTCAAAAAACAAAGAGGCATCGATACATTCCAAACCCCTGAATGATTATTAGACGACCTGAGAGTTAGCATTTGCCCCGCAGGCAAATGCTAGGCTCAGGCGGCGCAAACGCTGAGTTGGTCTTGATTGCTTTTGGATGGCTTTGGCTTATTTGGTCGTGGCTCCGTTTGTGGTTTTGGCGCGGGTTTCGTGTTGGGTTGCGTTTGGTATGTCTTCTTGTTGTTTGCGTGTGGTTTGCTTATTCTTCTGCTGGTGTTGCTTGGTTTCCGTTGGGATCTGGTATGTTTTGTGGTTCTTTGTCTCCGAGGCTTAGTGGCACAGAAATCCGCCATGGATCCGGAGCTTTGCGTGGCTTCTGCAGTTCCATATCAGTTGGGAGTGTATGGAATCTAGAGATTCTCTCGGAATGGGGGGCAAAGGGGACACCAACAGAAAGAGCCGGCTGGTTGGAAGTCGCTCATTCTCGCTCTACCCTTTCGTAGATGCAGAATTTACATTTGATCATCAATCTTCGGCGATTACCGTACCCGCGGCGATGATTCGCTCAGTTTAGTAGCAAACGGCCGTTTGTCTGAATCAGCTGCTTGAGATTGATGAATCACTTAAAGCTTTTCAGGCTTGTATTGAAGTTGTATTCTATCTTAGGACACGCCGCCTCTGGCTTTGTTTGGTTCGGCCACTCGAAACCATTATCAGGCTCGGGCTGATTTGATTAATCTGCATCGTCTTGTGCTGCGGTTTGGCTGCCTCGAGTCAAGCCGATAATTTAGGTCAAGGGGCGTGTCCCCACAGGACGTGACCTAGCAATAGGAAGAGCATGGTTGCCCAACAAGCTGCATGGGCAATTGATGTGGACCCGAATCTCTCAACATATCCCTTAGTTAATTGCCCGGTGTACAATTGGTCCATTGGCCAAATCAACAGCCCCCATTTGGAACTCTGAAGGGCCACCTTCTCAAGGCGCTCAAGCAGCTGGAAGTGGCGCGGAAGGGCTTGGAGAAGGCAGAGAAGCAGCGGAACGAAGCGGAGGAGGAGGCACGGAGTCGGGAGAGCGGAGGGCTTTAGATCCGATGCCCGGCCTCTTAGCCCACCCCGAAACCACCTGCCAGGATCAAGTTTGGACTTTCTGACCCCCAGAAAGGCACTTGTCAAGAACCCTAGAACCTTTCTTGGGTGGGGGCTTTTGATTTTGTCCCATGAGGCAAGAAGAGGAGTGATCAAATAGTCTCCCCACGAACCACCACGCCCAAGGGAAACTCGGATGATATTGGATGTAAAGGCAACGCATCTTGTTTCGATGATGGCCATGGCGGCAAGTTGTCCTTGAGGTTCACCAACCATTCGCCGGCAATGGGGCGAGAACTCTCTTCCTGTTGCCGGAAACATCGCCGGTGGTGCTGTTGTGGTAGTTTCCTTGGGACTGGTTATTTTCAGGTGCTCCTTGGCCTGTGACTTCAACTGGTGGCTTGGGTTTGATGAACCGCTGGTTCTTGCAGGGGGAAACTGCCCCCGAACCTCCTAATCACCAATCCAAACCACCAATTGGAGGGAAGCTGAGGACGGGGGATTGTGGAAGGCAGTTTAGACCTTGCTTCCTGTTCCTTTCCCCGTTGCTTTTGGGCAACGCATGTGGCCTGCGCATGGGGGAATCAGCGGTGCCTACCCTGGTCCCACTCTCGTCTGACCGCTTTTCCTGTCATTCCCAAAGTGATAGATGACCCTGTTTGACGTTTTGTTCATTGCTGTTGTGGGTCACATTTCTAGATTGCGCTTTTACACATAAATGCTTTTTGTAAGCCTACCCAAACCACAAGATGTAGATTATATCTATTGACTTGCCCATGCAGATTGCGCTGAAAACAAACCCTGTCGCGCCAGCGCCAGGCCCTGCGCGCAGAGGAGGCGCAGCTGGCGCTGCAAAAGGCGCGGAAGGAGGCGAGCGAGCAGCTGCAGGAGATGCAGACCCAGCACGGGGCTTAGCTGCGCGGGCGTGGGTGACCCGTGGGCTCGAAGAAATGGCCATGAGTTTTGAGAGTTGGCCGAGTTCTGATGTCTCCCAAAGGGTGCACAGCTAGAATTCGCACCCAAAAGGGGTTTGGACGCTGCGCACATGGTTTTCCTGTGGTGCAAACTGGAACCTATGCATTCGATGCAATTGAACACGTCCCTAAGACGCCATGCCAGGAAATTGCAAGTTTTGGGCCAGGGCTGGTCCTTGGTGGAACATGGAACCGGCATAAGCCTGGGTTGGTCAGAATCAATTTCTATTCCATGCCAGACGGTACTTGTAGTGGTCTCCCGTGTTGTTATGCCCCACTATACGGATGAGGACCACGCACCCGGCCATTCTGCCGTCCAGCAAACCCGGGATTCTCCACCATGTGACTTTGAAACTCGCAAGTGGAAACACCGAAACGTTCTCTTACCGAGTTGCCAACTCCAGGGTAAAGGAAGCCCTTTGCCCTTCCCAGCTACTGGCACCCGTGTTGCCTTTGTTTGGTGGCTTCCCACTGGGCAGGGTTTCGCGCACTGTCTCAGTACTCTCACTCCAAGTCCAAACTGTTCATTTTTACATGGGTAATCCCGGGGAGGCTGACCTAGGGTGCATTTTCTCCACCAACGCATGGATTTCTGCACAATGGACACAACATAGCCCCCTTCCGAAGGTCACTTGACCAAACTACAGCAAATGTTCGGGGGAGAGGGGTTGGCGGGACCGGCGCCTTTCCCAACCATGGGTGTCCTTTTTGGTTGTTTTGGTGAAAATAGATGGCGATGCCTGGTTGACCAGGTTGCTCCAGAATCTACCATGGCATCTATTTTCAACAAGGACGCCTATGTTCCGAACCCTCTCCCCATCTCTCCCCCTTCTCGACGAACTCGATTCGAGGCACGGGGCGCTCCTGCAACAGCTGAAGGACCTCCAGGCAATTTGCCGGAGTACTGGAGTCTCCTCCAAAAGCACATAAGTTGCTTTTTGTGGTGAAGCGGTAGAGGATGAAGCAGTGTGTTCATGTAAGATTCTAGGTTGAAACCGATTCATACTTCTTCTTTTTTTCCCGGGGGTACCCCAGAGCTAAGAAGGGAGCCGTTGCGGAGCTGGAGCGGGGTATCCAAATGCGACTGTACAGAGGGAGGTAGCGAGAGGAGATCTGTAAGTTCATCACACTTTGCTTGCCTTTGGTCCGCTTTCCTAGGCAATTGATCCAGATTTGCGATGGACATGCTCTGAGCGATTGCCGCTCTGAAGGAAAGCAACCTGTTTTGCGTCAACGTTGGTACCATCTTACAGGTGAGGGTCTAATTAAAACACATCTAAGTATAGACAACATAAATCGTGGGTTTAGAGTTTAGGATTGAAGGGTTGACCAAGGAGCGGGTTAAACCATGTCTTACTTCTCCAGGCGAGCAATGAGGCGGAGGCGGCACAGGCCGGCGAGGCTGAGCAGGCCGCCACGCGCCTCGGAGGTTGACTTTGGCCCCTCGCTCAGCCTCTCTCACTCGTTGGGTTCCAAAACGCCCCCACCCCCAAAACACCCCCACTCGTTGAGACTTAGAATGGAAAGAGGGGGGATTTCAACAAAACCTTTTCTTCTCAAAGCAGGCTACCGAAGAAAGGGTGTGCTTGTTCCCATGGCCAATAGGTGTGTGGGTGAAGTTGGGGGGTTCTGATACCAGAGGAAAGAAGTCGGAGAACTAGGAATCCTCGGAGAGGTCCAGCTGCAACGCAGAGTGGAATGAAAGTATACGGTCTTTCTCACTTGGTCAGGGAAATGATCATGACCGACAGCGGCTGGCAAGCATGTCGGTTTTTGCAGCACCTTATCGATGCGCTTAGTTCCACTTCCTCAAAAGGTAGTTCACCAGGTCAGCAGTGGCAAAGGGTGGTTTGTACAAGGGCCAAGGAGGACATGCGCGGTTGCCATGCGGAAGGCTTACCCAAATCAGATGACTCCAAATGGTTAGTGTCCTTTTGGTTTCTTCAAACCCACCACAAAATCCACAAAGAGGGTCCCTTGACCGAGTGTGGTGTTCCCCTTTTTTTGACTGAGGGTGATCCTTTGGTCTACGTGAGATTCATGTCTGGCCTGTGTGAGTGAATTATCCAGAAAGGCGCTCGGACCCTTTGGGATGTGTTTTTCCATACCTACAAAAGGTGATCGAGCTTTTGCTCAGGGGAGAGTAACCTTAGTCGCTGTTTATGGGCAACCATTCCCTTGGGTAGCGTACGGGCTCTCCTTTGTTGGAGTTGTTTTCTTGTGGAATTGTGGCCCGTTTTGACCCGATTTGGTGGCTTTGAACCCCTGGTCCTTGAGGGTAAATGGAAAACCAGGCCCCCCCAATCACCTCAAAGGGAGTCTTTCTGGCCTTGTTTCGTCAGATCAGATCCTCTTGAACTCACTGTTTGAGTTCCGTTTCGGACTGAAATGTAACTTTGGGGGTTTGCACCATTTGATTGGCAAACAAAAAGAGTTTGCACTTTTTCCGACCAATCCACTTAGCAAGTGAGTGCGCAATAATTTCTGGGGCTCCATCCAATTGGGTCCGACGCGGACGCCCAGGAAGGCTAAGACGCAGCTGCAAGCCCAGGCGAAGCCGAAGGGGCCCCGGCAGTGGACCGGGGGAATCTGAAGCCCCCAGTTGATGTGACAGGAAGGACCTCAGTGGTGCCAAAATCCACGCGGATCGATCTTGGGAAAGCGGTGGTTTATGAACCAGCTTTCATAGGGATTCTTCCATCCCAACTGGCACGAAATGGATTTTGTCCTTTCACCGTACTTTGGGGGTGGAGGTCCGGCCTTTGGATCCACTCGGTCACGACCTCTCAAACGGCCTTGGTTTACATGTTAATTGGGCAAGTCAGAGCAACCTTGGCCGCTTTGCCAAGGATGAAAGTTACTTTCACAAGAAGCCCTTTCTGTGAGTTTGTGGTTCAGCATGATTCACAAATTCCCAGGTTCACGAATTACTGGTAAACATTTTGTTGGGCAAGTTGCAAAAAACCTCATAGACCGTTCTGGACATTCATGCCATCCCCGAATTGACGTATGAGTGAAATGTGCACGTGGCCTTGTTTCATTGCCTTTGTCCAACTCCACCCCTTTGCCCAATCATTTTGTCAAAAGCAACACCAATGATGTTGTTTTACCCATAAAGAAAACAATGTCAACAACAGACAGATCAACAAACCTAAACCCAAAGGCTTACATCTGAAAAGCCAATGCCAGCGCCACCCGTTCGGCCAGGTGGCCGAGTCTCAGCGCCTCTCCGCGCTCTGCGCGCTCCGCGCCGGCCACTTGCGCGCCGCCACGCGGCGCGCGGAGGCGGCAGAGCGCCGCGCCGCCGCTGCGGAGGCGAGCCGTGCATTTTGAGTTTCGCTTGCAAACCTCGGAGGCTAAAATTCAGGTACTGCTTGAGGGACCCAGGTTGGGCGACCCAGGTTTTAAAGGGTTAAAGTGAGACATGATAACTGGCGAAGATGGCGAAGATGGCGAACTGGAGGTTTGCAAGCCTCCAGCAAATTTTGGTTACTACGGCTGGCATGCCACTTAGCCACTTAGCCAGCCAAAACCTGCACGGAGGGGGTGTCGTGTTTTGGTGGGCAGCCGGGTGGCCGTGGATTTTAGCCCTTGGTTTCCTAGATGTGCCCAGTAGTGGAAACCGTGTTGGGTTTCCTTTCTCAGGCAGAGCGCAAGATCGCCTTGGCCGCCTCAGAGCTGGGCGAGGCCCGCTTTATTTGAAGCAGCTCCTTTTGAAGCACGGGGGAAGGTACCAAGAACAAAGGGCCCCAGACCACCAAAACCAAACTGGGGTTTCATGGGGAAACGTTGGCACAAACGCAAACAACTTCAATGACATCCAGCCACTGGAGCAATTGGAGGCAGACTGGAGCAAGACTGGACGTGTGGGTGTTGGGCGTGGGAGGGCTAGAGAGGTCTTCGAGGCTCCTGAACCGTCACCGACCATAAGTCAGGTGCTTTGATCATGGTCACATATGCCACATGGAAGCCATTTTTTGGGGGTCGCTGGTGGTTGGTCTAATTTGGACGGGACGACTATGAGAAACCCTGTTCTGCTTTTTGGTCTTGTGCTTTTTGGGTTTGTTCATTGAATCTGGTGGGTAGGGGAAGCTGAAAAGATTCAACTTGGTTTACTGACATCCCGAAGGTCGGCAAGTTTGGATTGATGAGGTTGTTCCCGGACATCTAAGAGCACCGGATTGGTTGAACAGTTGGTTTCCTCTTTGGTTTCCCTTGAAACATCAAAACACCAAAATAACAATTCTGTCTGTTCCCAACTGCTAAATCCGAATGTAGGAAAATATTGGTGGGGTCAGTCAACCCTGATCATTGCTTTGCATCCAGCTCTATTTCAGCATACTTGGACCAGGGTTTACGTTTTGGAGTCGTTTTGAGTATAGGGGGACCCCCTATGGACTACAGAAGTGTGGAATTGTTTTGACGGGAGTCTCATCATCTTCCTGAAAGGGGTGTCAACATGCAAACCATGGCGTGGATCACCGGTGTCATATTTTGGAGGTCATCATGCAAGCATCTATGGGACGGGTCAAATCGAAATCCATTGAACATGGCTAGGGTCACCATGGGTCCACTCCACTCTCCTTGTCGACTGCCATTGTTAGATTTGTGGCTTTCGGGTTCCCTCTTGATTTCCCTCCCCTGAGGAGTTACCCGGTACAAATTTATGTTCGTCCACTGTCGTCCCTCGTGGGGACGGTCAAAGCAACTTGGGCACCCTACTGACCACGAACTTTGGTTTCAACATATCCTATGTTGCGCAAACCGGGCCCTGGACCTTTGAACATGTCCAAAGCCACAAAAAGGGTACCCTTGACAGACCCATGGCCCCACCCCTCCGCTTCGAACGCCAGGCCGAGGTGCGGCGCCTTGCCCAAGCCGGCGAGGTTTCGGTCTCCGCCGCTCCGATGGAGGCGGACACCGAAGGAGACAGGCCGGGGTTTGTGCGGAGCACGGCACGTGGCACGGGTCGCCTCCTAAACGAAAAAGGGTACCCCCAAAAATATGGTTCTCCTTTAGGGCTTTCCTTTAAACCAACCCCGATACGGGCCGAAGCAAAGTGGAAATGTGGGCTGCAGGATATCCTAAAACCACATCTAGTCAGGTTTAGGGCGTAACCCCCTGTTTTGGATATGCAGAAAATGAGTTCTCATGCTAAAAGGGAACTTGGTTGGCGCGTGTTTTTCTGGGTTTGTCGGTTTATGGGTTGGTTGTGAAGAAGTGTTGCGAACTGTCCTTACATGACGAGTTGATTACCTGTTGGTTGATGTTAAGTTTTGCCAAGGGCAACCCCTTGTACAACCAGCTTTTTTGCATGGTCAAAGTGCAATCCGGCCATGGACCTCTCTGAAGGAAGGCCAACAAAACGCGATGTTCGAACAGTGGCTTGAACATGTTTAATGAGGTGACTGGTTGGCCCATTGATTGCGGGGCCTTTAACTGGTCAAGTCCTTACATTGGGAATCCCAAGGAGCTTAATGGTTACCAATAGTTTACCCCGATCATGACTAGATGTGGTTTTAGAATACCCTACGACCCCCATTTTATGCCGATGCGATCTACGTGTACATGTTTACATGCAGCGCCGGGGATGGAGACGACATCCATTGAAGTTGCTTAACCCCTTGTAGGATGAAGCCTCACCCTTTGGGCAGGCTGCTGGCGGATTTGGAGGCTTTGCTGGAGTCCAACCCTTAGATCGCACTTGGGGCTAGTTGCTGAGTGGTTCCACCGGGTTCCACCTTGTCTTTCTTAGGGAGCCACCCAAGATGGTTGTCTTCCTTGATTTGACCTTTGCTTGTTTTCACTGCATTGCCATGTGTAGTTAGGCCTAAGAATCGCCGAGGTCCAATGCCTAGTGCATATCCGGAGTCCAATGGAGGGTTCTGTGATTCATGCTTAGGGCTGCTGAAAACTGCCCCTTGCTTTCACGCGAACATCTATAGATGCGCCATGATGGGCCTGTTTTTCTTTTGAGGGTACCGGTACCGCTTTTTTGGGTTGGTTTTAAAGGGACACCTAACGGAAAAACCCACCGTTTTGGGGGGAGACACCCCCAGATCTACTTTTCCCCAGGAAGCTTATGATCTCGGAGCAGCCTTGGGAGACCGAAGCATGCAACTGTCCGAAAAGGGAGGTGCAACACACATGACATTCTGAAAGTTCGTCGGGTTCCGGCCAATGTGAAAAGCCACTGGGTCATTTTGCACTTGCGGAAAGGCTGTGGCTGAGTTGAAGGGCGCCCGTGTCAAACGACCTCACAAGAGGAGCTCCCAACAAGAACACGCACCAAGTGGAAGTATCTTACCCTAGGACTTTGAGACGATGTCAGCCCATTGGATAGGGGATCCACATTGGGCCCTTGGCATAGGAACGAAAGCCAAGGCCGACTGACCTGGACCTGCAGGATACGAAGGCAGGTTGCTGAGCACCATGTTGGCTCCACCGCCTTGGTGTCTATGTCGGTGTCTGTTTCTGTGTCAGTGTGTGTGTGTAGGTCTTCTATGTGTAGTGTGTGTGTGTGTGTGTGTCTTGCTTGTCGGTGTGTATGGCTGGCGTGGGCGCATGCGAAAGCCATGCAACAACAATGGACGTTCCAAGACTGCCCAACGCTAGCTTATGAACACAAACGCGGACACTCACGCAGATCCAGAGACGGAAAGACCGGCAAACATCCCAAACACACGACATATGTAGAAATATGGAATGCTCTACACTATACACGCACGCTTGTTTGAGTCTGCTTCATTCACAGCTAGCTGACACAGAAATGAGTGCACTGCACATTTTGGCCAGGTACTTCTTGTGGAGAAATCACACCTTTCATTTTTGCTGCCCGCAACATTGCAACATGGTAACCAAGATGGTGGCGCATGCTGAAACGGACCAGGCCGATGTGAAAGCCGCTTCTGAGATATCAAATGAAGTGATATGAAGTGCTCAAATGATTCACGGCTGGTAGTGCATGATGATTGTGCGGCAGAGCCGCCGGTGCAGGACTTTGCATGCTTGCTGTTTGTTTGTCCATGTAAGGGTAAGTCCCCGCCAGATGAGAAAAAATCACACGCCGCAGGCATGCCATCCGGACGAATCAATCACGGACCCCTACAGCTTGAATAGTATCAGATATGTCCAAGGTTAGGAAACATCACGTTTCTGCTTCATCGAGGCACATGGGTCCATGCACTATTGGTTT